CCTGATCACCTGTTTACAGGGCGGGGAAGTGGGTGAGGCAGCTCGGCCTCGAATGTGCCTTTGGAAGGCAGATCGGTGGCTGCCGGGGAGGGGGCCGCGGGGCGGAAGGAACCTCTTGGGAATGATGGATACGTTCACTATCTAGAGACGGTGGGGATGGTTTCACGGGTGTATGGGAACGTCAACACAGATCAAGCTGTACACTTTAAACACGCTCAGCTTACAGTGTGTCAATCACACTTCAACAAAGCTGTTTTTAAAATGTATTTGTTCCAAGTGTTGGTGCCTGGAAGACATTATTTTGAAAATTTACTAACATGAGGTAGCCCATTTATTTTTTCTTTTTTTCTTCTAGAGTTAAGTTTCCTTTTGTTTTGTTAATCCTCACCCGAGGATATTTTTCCAACGATTTTTAGAGAGAGTGGAAGAGAGAGAGGGAAAGACAGAGAAACATCACTGTGAGAGAAACACATCGATGGGTCGCCTCCTGCAGGAGCCCTGGCCAGGGCCCAGGCTGGGAGGGAGCCTGCAGCCAGGGTACGTGCCCTTGACTGGAATCGAACCTGAGACCCTTTGGTCCATAGGCTGATGCTCTATCCACTGAGCCAAACCGGCCAGGGCAGCCCCTTTCTGCACTGTGCCAGATAAAGGCGGTGTGTCTGGGTGGGGGTGACTGCACTACTTAAAAAGAAAAGAGAGCCCTAACCGGTTTGGCTCAGTGGATAGAGCGTCGGCCTTCGGACTGAAGGGTCCCGGGTTCGATTCCGGTCAGGGGCGTGTGCCTGGGTTGCGGGCACGTCCCCGGTGGGGGGTGTGCAGGAGGCGGCTGATCGATGTTTCTCTCTCATCGATGTACTCTCATCGATGTTTCTAACTCTCTATCCTCCTTGAAAAAAAAAAAAAAAAAAGCAATAAAATATATTTTAAAAAAAGAAGAAAAGAGAAACAGGAGACAATGACTGTGGGCCTCAAGGCTGACCCAAAAAAGGTGCGAAAGGGGTGCCACTCTAGGTCCAGGCCTCCCCCGTGAAGCCAGCAAGTCTGGCCATGGCTAAGCGCAGCATCGGAGAGTTTTTCCGTTGGATGATGCTATCAACCAACTTGTCTGGGACGCTGTGATGAAAAGAGAATCAGGAGACAATGACTGTGGGCCTCAGGGCTGACCCAAAAAAGGCGCGAAAGGGGTGCCACCCTGGGTCCAGGCCTCCCCCGTGAAGCCAGCGAGTCTGGCCATGGCTAACTAAGCACAGCACTGGAGAGTTTTTCCGTTGGATGATGCTATCAACCAACTTGTCTGGGACGCTGTGATCAGGGTCTAGGGAAAATAAAATAACAAATGTACTGCTGGCCGCCAGGGAAGGAAGGAATGATTCTGGAAATGACAGGCTCCGCCACTCTAACTCTAATCCCTAAAACAAACATTGCTGGGGGAAAAGCCAGCCAATTCCTGGAGGAGGGCGGTGCCCTGGCTCAGTGGGGCACCGTGTGTACACCTGGGGAGCAGTCCGCCCCGTGCCACCTGCACATGAAAGGCGCCAGCACTGCTAGTGCCCAAGGGGCTGCCTTTGGCAGAGAGGGTGCCAGACATGCCAGGTGAGGGAACTGTGGGTGGCAACCAGTGAGGGCCTCTCACGGACAGTAGAGTGCTTTTTAGCTGAAGGAGACCTCCACCGAAGTTCCCGGGAGCCTGAGTGAGGCTTAGGAGCAAGAAGAGGGCTTGGGCCCAAGCTGGTTTGGCTCAGTGGATAGAGCATCGACCTGCGGACTGAAGGATCCCGGGTTCGATTCCGGTGAAGGGCACATGCCCGGGGTTACAGGCTCAATCCCCAGTGGGGGGCGTGCAGGAGGCAGCCGATCCATGATTCTCTCTCATCATTGATGTTTCTCTCTCTCACTCCCTCTCCCTTCCTCTTTGATATCAATAAAAATATATTTTAAAAAAAGAAGAGGGCTTGGGATGAAGGGAGAGGATGTGTGACAGTAAAAACCTCTGTGGAGGGTGGGCTGTGCACCAGGCGTTTCACTTACTCACTCACCCACTCACTCCTCAGACACTGACTGAGAGCCACCGGGTGCAGGACCTCCCCCAGGGCTCGCGTGTGGTGAGGGAGGCAGGCGACAGCACCATAAGCCCGTTCATCAGAGGAGTTCAGGTCATCGGAAGTGCTCAGGGAAGAAATCATGAAGAGGGTGATGTGGTTATGCCTGGGACAGTCCCTCGGGTGGCCAGGGAAGGTGCCTGGGAGGAAGTGATAGTTGAGGTGTGACGAGAGGGCTTCCAAGGCAGGCGTGGGACGAGAGGACACGGGTCTGGGATGTGAGGACACGGGCCTGGGACGAGAGGACACGGGCCTGGGATGTGAGGACGTGGGCCTGGGACGTGAGGACACGGGCCTGGGATGTGAGGACACGGGCCTGGGATGTGAGGACACTGGTCTGGGAGGTGAGGACACGGGCCT